CAACAACAAAATTAAATTTATATGAAAATACAAAAGGCCCTGAATAGCCAAAACAATCTTGAGAAAAAAGAAAAGAGCTCAAGGACTATGCTCCCTGACTTCTGACTATGCTACAAAGCCACAACAATCAAAACAGTACTGCACTGGGGCAGAAACAGACTCAGATCCACAGAACAGAAGAGGCTGAGGAATAAACCAAAATACCTAGGGTCAATTAATGTATGACACAAGAGGCAAGAATATACAATGAAGAACACATTCCTTCAATAAGTGCTGCTGGGAAAACTGGATAGCTATCTGTAGATAAATAAAATTATAGACGATTCTCTGATACAATATACAAACATTAACTCAAAATGGATTAAAGACCTAAATGTAAAGCAAGATACTATAAAAACTCTTAGAGGAAAATGTAGGTAAAACACTCTTTGATATAAATTGCAGCAATATGTTTTTAGATCCAATTTTTACAGTAATGGAAATACTAAGCAAAATGTAGTAATAAGCAAAAGCAATTGTTTAAACTTAAAACCTTTTGTACATCAAAGGAAATCATAAACAAAATGAAAAGACAAACCCACAGAATGAGAGAAAATATTTGCACCTGATACAACCAATGAAGGATTCATTTTGAAAATATATACAAAGCTCATACATCTTAATATAAAACAAAAAGAAACAACCAAATAAAAATATGGGCAGAAAATCTAAACAGACATTCTCCAAAGATATACAGATGGCCAGCAGGTACATGAAAAGATGCTCAAAATCATTAATTATAGAAAAGTGAAAATTGAAACGACAATAACATATAACCTCACACTGATCAGAATGGCCATCATCAAAAAGATTACAAATAACAAATGCTAGAGAAGATGTGGAGAAAAAGGAGAGAATAGAATAGAGAGAGAGAGAATAGAGAGAAGAATAGAATTGTTGGGGAGAATAGAATTGGTGTCAACAGTATGGAGGTTCCTTAATTAAAAATCGAGTTGCCCACAATTCCGCTCCTGGGTATATATCCAGAAAAGATGAAAACTCAAATCTGAAAAGATAACGCATCCCAATGTTCACAGAAGCACTATTTACAACAGCCAAGACATGGAAGCAACCTAAATTGTTCATCAACAGATGAGTGGAAAAAGAAGATGTGGGGTGTGTGTGTATACACACACCAAGGGGATATTACTCAGCCACAAAAATAAATGAAATAATGCCATCTGCAGCAACATGGATGGACCTAGAGATTCACTAAGTAAAGACAGACAGACTGAGAAAGACAAATATCACATGATACCACTTATATGCAGAATCTTGAAAAATGATACAAATGAATGTATTGGTCTGGTTAAAAGGTTTATTCAGGTATTCCATAAAATGTTATGGAAAAATCCAAATGAAATTTTTTGGCCAGAACAATATTTACAAAACAGAAATACACAGAAAACAAATCCATAGTTACCAAAGGGAAGGCAGGGGGAGGGAAAGATGTGAAGTTTAATTTTAATAGATACACACTACTATATATAAAACACATTAACAGCAAGGATTTACTACATAACAGAGGCAGTTATAACCAGTATCTTATAATAACCTAAAGGCAAAATGCTTGTCTGAGGAGGCCTTACAAATAGCTGAGAAAAGAAGAGAAGCTAAAGGCAAAGGAGAAAGGGAAAGACACAAACATTTGAATGCAGCGTTCCAAAGAATAGCCAAGAGAGAGAAGTAAGAAAGTCTTCCTCAGTAATCAGTGCAAAGAAATAGAGGAAAATAACAGAATGGGAAAGACTGGAGATATTTTCAAGAAAATTAGAGACACCAAGGGAACATTTCATGCAAAGATGGGCACAATAAAGGACAGAAATGGTATGGACCTAACAGAAGCAGAAGATATTAAGAGGTGGCAAGAATACACAGAAGAACTATACAAAAAAGATCTTCATGACCCAGATGACCACAATGAGTGATCATTCACCTAGAGCCAGACCTAGAGCCTTACTTGCCTCCTGAGAAATCTGTATACAGGTCAACAAACAACAGTTAGAACCAGGCATGGAACAATGGACAAGTTCCAAATTCGGAAAGGAGTACGTCAAGGCTGTATATTGTCACCCTGCTTATTTAACTTATATGCAGAGTACATCATGAGAAACGCTGGGCTGGAAGAAGCACAAGCTGGAATCAAGATTGCCGGGAGAAATATCAATAACCTCAGATATGCAGATGACACCACCCTTATGGCAGAAAGTGAAGAGGAACTAAAAAGCCTCTTGATGAAAGTGAAAGAGGAGAGTGAAAAAGTTGGCTTAAAGCTCAACATTCAGAAAACTAAGATCATGGCATCTGGTCCCATCACTTCATGGGAAATAGATGGGGAAACAGTGGAAACAGTGTCAGACTTTATTTTTTGGGGCTCCAAAATCACTGCAGATGGTGATTGCAGCCATGAAATTAAAAGACGCTTACTCCTTGGAAGGAAAGTTATGACCAACCTAGATAGCATATTAAAAAGCAGAGACATTACTTTGCCAACAAAGTTCTGTCTAGTCAAAGCTATGGTTTTTCCAGTAGTCATGTATGGATGTGAGAGTTGGACTATAAAGAAAGCTGAGCACTGAAGAATTGATGCTTCAGAACTGTGGTATTGCAGAAGACTCTTGAGAGTCCCTTGGACTACAAGGAGATCAAACCAGTCCATCCTAAAGGATATCAATCCCGAAGATTCACTGGAAGGGCTGATGTTGAAGCTGAAACTCCAATACTTTGGCTATCTGATGCAAAGAACTGACTCACTGGAAAAGACCCTGATGCTGGGAAAGAATGAAGGCGGGAGAAGGGGATTACAGAGGATGAGCTGCTTGGATGGCATCACTGACTCAATGAACATGAGTTTGAGTAAGCTCCAGGAGTTGGTGATGGACAGGGAAGCCTGGCGTGCTGCAGCTCATGGGGTCACACAGAGTTGGACACGACTGAGCGACTGAACTGAAAACAGAAAAGAATCTAAAAATGTATGTGTATGTGTGTGTGTGTGTGTGTGTGTGTGTGTGTGTGAAGAGAGGCTTCCCAGGTGGCTCAGTGATGAAGAATCTGCCTGCCAATGCAGGAGATGCAGGAGACATGGGTTTGATCCTTGGGTCAGGAAGATACCCTGCAGGAGGAAATGGCAACTCACTCCAGTATTCTTGCCTGCAAAATCCCGTGGACAGAAGGGCCTGGCATGTTACAGCCCATGGGGTCACAAAGAGTCAAATACCACTGAGCAACTGAGCACACACGCATGCTTATATATATAAACTGAATCAGCTTGTTATATATCTGAAACTAACACAACATTGTAAATCAACTATATTTCAATTTAAAAGATGGAAAAAAAGACTGTGACTAGCAATGATATCAATAACAATACCAATAAAATCACTAGCTATCCTTACACTTTGTCTCATTTAATCCTCTAAAAAACTGTGACTGGGTAGTACTATTTTATCCTTACTGTAAAGATGAGGAAATTGAAGTGTAAAAGTTTAAATAAGCCTATCTGACATCAAACCATTAGGTTTTTCTCAAGTCCTAACCCTTCTAAATAGAAACAAGGACTACAGTGTACTTTTCCAGGAATAAATTTGTATTTAGAATACAAAGTATATGCAGTAGGGGAAAAGCAGAATGTATTGGTTTCTACAATTATGTCAAGAGCCTGGCTAGAAAGCCATCACAGAAAGAACTAGTTTCAAAACTGAAATGGAAAATTTACTCCAAAGAGATCATGGAGGGCAAAGCTTTAATTCCAAGGATTTTTACAGCAACAGGGATATTAATAGGTTAGTTGTTGTTTTTATCACTATGTTTTTATTTTTTGCGACCCCATGGGCCATTAGCCCACCAGGTTCTTTTGTCCATGGGATTTCCCAGGCAATAATACTGGAGTGGGTATTGCCATTTCCTTCTCTAGGGGATCTTCCCCACCTAGGAATCGAACCCATGTCTCTGCATTGGCAGGTGGATGAGCCACCAGGACGCCCCTAACAGATGAGACCAAACTTAAACACACAACAACAGTGAGCGGGTTAATTATGTTCTGTTATACGCATGATACATTATGATACATAGTAATCAGCCATTTTAAAATGATATGAAAATATTTAATGATATAGAAACATATTAATAATGTAATAGGCAGAAAAAAAAACAGGTTACAAAAGAGTGATCCTATTTATTAAAAACAAGATATATCCCTCACCATGTGCATCTACCTGGTTTCTGTGTTTGGATGGAGAGAATTCAGATAACCTAGATACTGGAGGATTTCAAACTACCCAAATCTATTTGGCTGCTAGGTTCTAAACAGCAAACAGTAAGAGTTGAAAGAATGACGGATTCATGTGAAAATGTATTTTTTTGAGTTTGGAGAGGGAGAGTTCAGAGAGAATTAAAAATAGAAAAATGTCCAGAAGCGAGGCAGGGAGGTAAAGAGAAACTAAGAAAACCTGAAAGCCCCTCAGACTCCCTTCTCCCAGCACAAATCACTCTGGGGCACAAGCTCTGAATCGTATAGGGTAGACTTCCTGCTTCTACTTCAGTTTTTAGTTCTCCCCTCTCTTAAAAATTTTACCAAACATATGAGGTTGACTGTACCTTAAACATACATATGGTAACTCTCTGTATGAATATACATTTGCACATATGTTTTAAAAAAATTTACAGAGAAGAAAATCTGGAAGGCTACACGCCATACTACTAACATTAGTTGTTTTCAGGGAACGAGGTTGATTTTAATTTTCCAAATTATGCTTAGCTGTATTTTCCAAATGTTCTTATAATCTGGAACACGTATCATTTCTCCAGTAAGCTATAAATACGGATATAGCAAACTGATACCAAAATATGCTAAAACTTTGTGGTGAGGGATAATAACATCCTGATACTAACATTCTGATTTTGACAGCAGCTCAACTTTGTGAGCTTGTGGATTAAATAGAAAGAAGACTGTCTAGTTTTACCTCTAGAGCCTTCTGTTGCAGACGGTCACGTTCTACTTTTTCTTTGCCAACAAACCACACTTCCCACGGTGTCAGGCTGCTTTCTGGTAAGTGCACCTGCTTCTGTTCTTCTTGGTTATCTTCGGATCCAACCGTACTATTACAAAAGAGAGGATACTATAGACCTTGCACTCAAAGCTCTTTTCCTTAGCAGTCAAAATGATTTATCTGCACAATAAAAGTAGAATTCCATGATACACTGACAATACTGTGATTTTTATATGTAAATATACACTTAAGAAACTAAGAACAAAAGAGCCCATTGTTTAGTTTATGCTTTTAGACAGCCTCTGAACTCTCTCATCTTCTAAAATCACACTGTCCATTTGCCTCAAATACAGTAATTTTTTTCATTCTTAAACATCTTATGCCTGGACAACTAATTACAACACATGATCCTAACCAAATCCTGGTGCAGACTTTTCCCTTTTCCTCCCTTAAGTTGTTCACAAAGGAAAGAATACATATCTACACAGTGAGGATGGTAATGCCAATGTGGTAACAATTATGGTTTTGGTGTGAAGGGTGGACAGAGTTCTTTATACCCTCGATTTTTCTGTAAGTTTGAAGTTGTTTTGAAATAAAAAGGTACATAAAATATATGGCCTTGTGTTCTTTAATGGTTTGGTGGACTCCTTTTTGCCAGTTCTCAGACAAAGTGGCCACAATTTCCCCAGAGTTGTCAGTCTCTCTCTTCTGGGTACATGGAAAAGTAACCATTCACTCAAGCTCAACAGCAAAGGGAAAGGGAAGTACTTGTGAGTACATATATACATAAAGAACACAAGGCCTTGGCCAGGTACACAAGACCCCCATAGGAAAAGTTGAACCATTAGTGCCCATGGAAAGAAAGGTTGTTCAGGACATGAGGCAGCTAGAGAAAGAATGGGTTATTATAGATTCAGCCCCTCTTTGTCTCTTTAACATTCCTGCTTCAGGCAACCAACTGCTTCCCCTATGGCATGCTCAGCTTTTTCTGCCTTGTAACTTTCATTTACTTGTTGTTGATGGTGGTTTTGCCCCCTATTTTTCCATTCATTCACGCAATCATGGAATTTGTGTTCTAGTGGGAAAGGAACACTGTTGTATGTTGTTTACATCCTATATATCTTTGTCTGGCAGAACACTACCTCATCCTCCCATAGCTTCACTGGTCATGAAGGTGCTGATGAGGCCCACTCAAAGGCATTTCAGGCTAGATCTTACTCTTGGGCTCCAAACTTGTATTTTCTACCATTGGATAGATGGCTTCACTTAAATATCAAACTCAATCAATGCAAAACAAATCTAGTCATTTACCACTCACTCACTACCCTCCTCCTATAATCCTACCTCAGAGAAGAATATCAACACTCACCTAGTTAGCCAAGCCGGAAACACAGATCTTTGACTCCTGCTCCCCAACCACATTTGGTACCGCTCCCTCCCACACCTATACAATTCAGTTTAGTTGCTCAGTCGTGTCCAACTCCTTGCAACCCCATGGACTGCGGCACACCTGGCTCCCTGTCCATCACCAACAACCAGAACTTGCTCAAACTCATGTCCACTGAGTCCGTGATGCCATCCAACCATCTCATCCTCTGTCATCCCCTTCTCCTCCTGTCTTCAATCTTTCCCAGCATCAGGGTCTTTTCCAATGAGTCAGTTCTTCCAAACAGGTGGCCAGGAGTTTCAGCGTCAGCATCAGTCCTTCCAATGAATATTCAGGACTGATTTTCTTTAGGATGGACTGGTTGGATCTCCTTGCAGTCAAGGGTCTCTCAAGAGTTTTTTCCAACACCACAGTTCAAAAGCATCAACTCTTTGGCGTTCAGCTTTCTTTATAGTCCAACTCTCACATCCATACATGACTACTGGAAAAAACCATAGCTTTGACTAGACAGACCTTTGCTGGTAAAGTAATGTCTCTGCTTTTTAATATGCTGTCTAGGTTGGTCATAGCTTTTCTTCCAAGGAGCAAACATCTTCTAATTTCATGGCTGCAGTCACCATCTGCAGTGATTTTGGAGCCCAAGAAAATAAAGTCTGTCACTGTTTTCATTGTTTTCCCATCTATTTGCCATTAAGTAATGGGACCAGATGCCATGATCTTAGTTTTCTGAATGTTGAGTTTTAAGCCAGCCTTTTCACTCTCCTCTTTCACTTTCAAGAGGCGCTTTAGCTTTTCTTCCTTTTCTGCCATAAGGTGGTGTCATCTGCATACTTGAGTTATTGATATTTCTACCAGCAATCTTGATTCCAGCTTGTGCTGCTTCCAGCCCAGCGTTTCTCATGATGCACTCTGCATATAAGTTAAATAAGTAGGGTGACAATATATAGCCTTGATATAGTCCTTTCCCTATTTGGAACTAGTCTGTTGGTCCATGTCCAGTTCTAACTGTTGCTTCTTGACCTGCATACAGATTTCTCAGGAGGCCTCAACTATCAGGGCCCCAACCAAAGGTAAGAGGTAGAGAGGTAGAATAAGGAAATGTTCTAAACACTTCTCTTTCCTGAAAAGAGGTGATTGATTTTCTGAAGCATTTTGAGAACAATCACCACATCTATCTGTTCTTAGGAAGTGGGAAATAAACACTCCTTCAGCAGGCGTTTAGTGAACACCTCACAGGCATCTGACACTTCCCACACACAGGCCTGACAACGCCTGCATTTTTTCCAGACCACGTCCTACCTATTGCTTTGAATCAGAGGGCATGAACTGTGATAAGGAAGGCAGCTAGAGCCCTGGGGTGTTACCAGTTCATTTGGGCTTTGGCTGAGGTTTCACATAAATACAACTAGCTCAAAAAAAAAAAAAAAGAAAAAGAAAAAAAAATACAACTAGCTCCTCCCGTGGTGAGGTCCATTTGGTTAGGGCTTTGGCTCTCGAAAGCTAACGCAAGGTCTCAGCAGCAGAGTTGTGGATGGCCTCTGGATAGCCATCATTCCCTGGGTTGCTCAACTGTCTACATAGCTTAGTCCTGCTGATTAAGCTCAGGAGTTATTTTCCAAAACCTTAAAATATATTTTAAAAATCATTGGGACCAGGAATTCCCTGTTGGTCCAGGGGCTAAAACTATACTCCCAATGTAGGGGACCCAGGTTCAATGTCTGGTCAGGGAACTATATCCCACATGCTGCAACTAAGATCAAAGATCCTTTGTGCCACAACAAAGACCCAGGGCAGCCAAATAAATAATAAATATCTTCGTAAAAATTACTGGAACCAACTCAGTCCTGAAGAATCTGTACAAAGTCCCACATGAAAAAGGACTCCTTCGAAACTGTTTCTTGTTGCTACAAACTGTGTGGACAAGTGGCTTGCTTGCTTACTGTTACTGATCTCCATTCCTACCAATGTACTTACTATTACTTCTTCTTAAGAGACTCACTGTTACAACTGTGTAGGTGAGTCATTTCATATGGCTTCATATTCAGTTTACTCACCCCAGGCATGCATGCCTTACAGCAACAGGGGCTAGATGGTTGCCTACACATAAAGCATGGGTTCTCTGGTCTGTGTTTCTTAGATTTCCTGCATAGTGCCTTGTGCAGCCTGACAATCAGAAACTTGTAAATGCTTTCTGAAGTTGACATAATGAGTCTACCTCCAAATGCACCTGCATCACCAAGCCTCTCTCAGAAAAAGATATTCCTGAAAGGATAGGCCCTTTGCTCGTATTTCTTCCCAACAAGAGGCATGTAGCATAGGCAAGAGAAAACATGATCAGTATACCCTGGTACTAGGCCCAGCTCCTCTAATGACTAGGTGGAAGCCTTTGAATTAGACTTTTTGTCTTCTGAGCCACAGTTTTGTTATCTGTAAAATGAATGGCTTGACCTAGGCTTTAATTCCAAGAGAGTAGAGACCATGCCTGTCTTGTTTACAGGCCCTTATCTGGTGGCTCACACACTAAAGAATCTGCCTGCAATGTGGAAGACCTGGGTTCGATCCCTGGGAAGATCTCCTGGACGAGAGCATGGCAACCCACTCCAGGATTTTTGCCTGGAGAATCCCCATGGGTAGAGGAGCCTGGTGGGCTACAGTCCATGGGGTCGCAAAGAGTGGGAGACAACTGAGCAACTAAGCATATATGGCACAAACTAAATGTTTGCTGAAAGAACTGTAGAAATAAATTAAGATGACTTTAATAATCCCTTTAATTCTAGCATTCAATGGCTTCTACTCTTAGTAACTGTTAAGAGCAGCCCTGACATTGTCTCTGGATGCTGAAGTCTTTGCTAACCTCAAAGCTTCAGCTTTTAATCTATGACATAAAAGTATACTGCTTACTACAACCTACTTCGCTGACAACCAGATTTTTTTCATAATCGCTACAGGTATTACTAAGTTGCAGTAAACCACATGTGGGTGTTAAAGATTTGAACAAGAGTTCTAGTGTCCCCACTTTGACTTTTGAGTGTTCATAAAATGCCTGAAACTGTAGCAATTTCGTGTGTTTAGTGCTCGCTGCTTGTGTGTTTAGGTGTATTCCTCTGGGGAGGAAGATTGTAGCAACCATCACACACTCAGGAAAAGGGACTAAGAACGATGGAAAAATCTGTAGTCATGAGTAAGAACCGACCCAAGACTCTGGGCCAAAAGGAGCAGCACCTGCGGCTGCCAAGTGCCCGCGCTGCCTTTTGAGAGGGAAGACAGGAGGGTATCTGGTCGCCAGACGAAGGTACTTAGTGGGGTCTAAGGAAACTTGAGGGGCCTGTATCTCGGATTTACCTGGTGCACCCCTGTAACTCCACTCCTCTCAGGCTCTCCACCTTGGCCTCTGAGTCATAAGCATCTTCGCCCACATCTTCCTCCTCCTCCTCGTCACCATCGTCGTTGTCAAACGGGAAGCTCTGGTGGCCGAGGGGAGACAACAGCGACAGGGTGGAATTGCTGCAGCTGAGCGGTGGCGACAGCGAGCATACCTCCACCGCCTCCCGGCCCGGCCCCCGGGCCCCTGCCAAGAGAACAGAGAAGCCCGAGGACGGCAGAGACCCGGACCTGCTGTCGGCCATGAAACGGCGTTCGAGAAGGGGAGAAGCAGGCCCCCACCGCCCTGCGGCCCACATCTGGCCCGCCAAGTTCAAACCGGCGGAGCGGCGGCCGGGACGTGCTCTCCCAGCAGGCCTTGCGCGCGCCGGCGCGGCCAATCCGGGCGGGCGCGGACTTCGCGTTGCCATGGCGACGCGTGGAGGCCTCCTGGGCTTTGTCCCGGCTTGCAGAGGGTGGCTTCCTGCTCCCGGCAGTCTTTTGGGTGCCCTCCCTCCTTCCCAGCCTGGATCTGCGCTGCTGCTTGTGAATTAACCTCGCGCTCAGCTCTCGCTCGCAGACGAGGTACCCCCTCCCGGCTCACAGCCAGGAGGGCCCGTCCGCTGTTTGCTGTGGTTCGTTTGGTACAGAAAATGTGCTGTTACTGAATAGGACAGATTCTTTAAAGGGGAAAGTGGCAGAAGCCAAAACTACCCCCATATCATTACAAGGTCAGAATTGCAAGGATCAGTCACGATTTCTCTCAGCACATGGCCGCACACGGCTGTATTTTAGGAAAAGGGGTGGGAGGCGAAATTTATCCAAGTTTACAAGTATATCTAAAGATACACTTCTGGTAGTTTCTCATTGTTTTTGGTCGTACCTCGTCTGCCTAGCATCACCTCGTCTTCCTGACATCTTACAGGAACTTGCTTATTCAGGTGAATATATATGAACATATATAAGTCCTTGCTTATACAGGGCTTCTCTGAAGCATCTCGTGTACTGGGGTCTGTACTAAGCACTGGAGATATAAAAAATAAAAGCCCTGCAGTCCTTACTCTTTCCTAGTGGAGAGTCATACCTTTAAAATATCGTGTGATATGTATGCTATGAGGAATGAAAAAAATTTGTGGTACTTAGAAAGGAGCACTCTCCTCTCAGGGACTGAGGGTGGAGATGAAGGTAGTAAGGGAGAGGTAATAGAAACTAAAGCTAGTTGCTTTATTCATGCTAATAAATGCAACTAGCAAATTCAGACAAAAATTTGCAAATTCATGCAAATTCGGGCTTTGTCCAGCTCATAATGCATATTGCTAGTAGAAATATCGCACAATGAAAACAGTGGCTAAAACAGCACACAAGATTTGTCATTGACCAAGGAGTGATACAAAATCTTCGATGACATTTAGATCTGCAAAAATTGACACCAAAGAATTATATACAGTAGAAATAATAGTAACCGAGGGTGATTTATAGTTAATAAAGTATGATATGGTTAAAACTATTTAAATAGAATGTAAACTTTGTTAAAATTTTCAGTAAAAATAATGAAAATGGAAGAAAACGAGCAATTAAAATGAGTGACGAAATTGGAGGAAAAATGGCTTTTTTCATTCTCTTACCTAATTATTCAATAGTGTCATGGCTGGTTAAAACCTTTTAGGTGAGGATCTTTAGAATTAATAAATTAATTGATTGATGCAAAACAGCATCACCCTGGATCACTTTAGGGCTTCATAAGGGAGTAAACTTGAGAAGCTGTTCCCAACAAACATCACCCCATATTACTGAAGCATAGTAGGAAAATAAGTTTCAGTATGAAAGGACCTGGATTTGAATCCGTGGTTTTTCTCTTATTTGCTAGGTTTCCCTCAGTAAGTTTCCCTGGAGAAGGAAATGGCTACCCACTCCCATATTCTTGCCTGGGAAATCCCAGGATAGAGGAGTCTGGTGGGCTAGTCTATGGGGTCACAGAGAGTCGGCCACAACTGAGCGACTAACACACAACATCACCTAAATAAGCTGTTTGGCCTTTCCAAGTCCTTACTCACTCCTTTGTAAAATAGGGAAATTCTGTAATCTGTTTCCCAGTTATATCATCTTATTCTCAAAACTTCTAGCGCAGGATCAGACAAGAAAAAATGGTCAATGGTAACTTGTGTCATATAAGCACCAAAACTTTCCCACTCTAACCTCTTACTATGGGAATCTAAAATGTTTTAAACAATTTATGCCCTTTCCTGGATGCCTCAGAATCATTCAGTTCATGACCAAGTATTGCATTATGTTGTAACAGCTCTGGAACTATGAGGTAAAGAGCCACTAGTGTTGGTTCTTGAACATAATCAAATCCTGTGTTCTTGTTTCTTACAGTGCCTTTTCATTACTGGGACTGAGAAACCATAATCAAGTTTGGTAGAATTATATAAAATGTATAAATAAGGTCAAAAGAAGGCCTCTCCCTTAAGTTTCAGGATGTTGGCTTAGTTACTTCTCTCCTTAATATTCAGTTATTTATACATTTATTTTCACTTTCATGGTATATTGGGTATAATTTGTTTTTTTGATTGGCATTGTAATCTTGTGTAAGTGAAAAGAGAAACCTTTGCTTGAAAATCTGTTACAAAAGTAACATTATTACCAGTGGGTCCTAAGGCAATATATTATACCTCTTAAAAAAATGCAGCCCTAGACATATTGAAACATTTTCAGAGGAAACAAAATGTCTAGGATTTGCTTCAGTGTAATCCAAGGGGCAGAGGGATTCCAGAAGATGAGTGAATGGGATGAAGAAATGACATTTACCACGCACGTGCTCTTGACAACTGCCAAAGTTGGATGATGGGCATGGGCAGTGAGGGCCAAGAGCGTAGGAGGAGGGCTAATTACAGTATTACTTTTGGTTATGGAAATTCCAAATATATACTGAAGTTTAAAACAAAGCAAACACAAACAAAACAATTAAGGGGAACTGGGTGCTGGTTTGGGCTCTAATTTGCTGTATGTGTCAGGTATTCACTTAAATTTCACTAGGCCGTCTATTTTCCCATCTGTAAAATGAGGGCTTGATGTTTATGAATACTGAGTTAGTTCTAAGCACAACAGCCCCTCCTTATCCATGAGGGTCCCAAACTCCCAGTGGATGCCCGAAACTGCAGATAGTACCAAACCCTACAAATACCATGTTTTTTCCTACAGTTTTTTTTTTTTTTTAATAAACTTTTCTTTTTTTTGTATTGGGGTACAGCCAGTTAGCAATGTTGTGATAGTTTCAGGTGAACACTGAAGGGACTCAGCCATACATATACATGCATCCATTCTTCCTCAAACTCCCCTCCTATCCAGCCTGCCACATAACATCAAGCAGAGTTCCCTGTGCTATAGAGTAGGTCCTTATTGGTTATCCATTTTAAATATAGCAGTTTTATTTATCAGTTAGGCATAGTAAGAGAATATCCAAATTACCAGCATCACTATTCTCGTGCTTTGGGGCCATTACTTGAACACAAGCGCTGAGAGTCAGAGATGGCTACTAAGTGACTAACGGACAGCAAACCCTGGACAAGGGATGATTCATTTCAGAACAGAACAGTGCAAGATTTCATCACACTACTCAGAAGGGCACACAATTTAAAACTTATGAGTTTACTCCTAGAATTTTCCATTTTAATTTTCCATTTTTGGACCACAGTTGACTATGGGCAATTAAAACTATGGAAAATGAAACCTCGGATAAGATAAGAAAGGGAGGACTGTTGCATTTTGGCAATTGACTCTATCTGGAATATGCAATTTTTTTTAAAAAAAAATCATTTACTTTTAAATAAGATCTACTTGAAGGTATCCTCTTAAATTTCGTAGTTTGTTTTCCATGAGTATTGTTCAGACTTAAGATACAATAAAACCTTACTTCTAAATTTCAGCAGTGTTCTCCCAACATTTCTTCTAGAATGCTTAAAAATATTTTACTTCAATTTGCTTAGTTTAACACTAAAACAAATTCATTAATATACCTAGTTATAAATTAAGGCAAAATTGATTGCTTTCCAGAAAGTTTAATGATTCAACACACTGCATACAATATTTCCTATCATATGTATAACAGTTTACCACATATTTTAAATATCTGCTATTCTATTATTTAAATGAATGCAATGAAAGTATTCAGTAACATGACTTTTGAAGAAAAAAACTTTTAGCTAGATTTTTTTTACCAAGTTATGATTTAATATTTATCAGATGTGTAAATATACAAACATGATGGCAATTTAAAAAACTTGTGAATAGTTGGCCTTACAAAATTACAACACACTGTAAATAAATCCCTCCCACATTTTATACAAACTACATGATTTTGATATACAAAGATTCTGTTTTTATTACACTGACAATGTACAACCAAGAGTATTTACAATGCAAAAAGTATATAAACCACAATTTAACATTCTGCTACTGGCAGCCACTATAGTTTAGGAGGTAGCTTTAATTAAACAAAATGAACAGAAGCCACATTTCCCAACTTGTGTTCTAAAAATAATTTACATAAGATAAAAATTCATTATATGCACATATATACAGTTTAATTATTAAACTGCAATCTAGCTTAATGTTTTTTAGTATCTCATGAACAACTAATATGGCAGTGGATTTGCTATTGATTTAGCATAGTGTTCAAAAAATGTATTGAACATTTATAACTTTAAGACTCCATATAATCAAATGTCCATAGATGACTATCAAGTAGAATTTTTAATTTTTAAAGACATAGGCCTAAGCTTTATGCCTTTTTTTTTTTCCTTAGTGATATATTTATCTTGTCTCACAAGAACAGTTTCAGAGCTGTTGCACAGGCTCTTGTAAATCAAAGGAAGGGAAAATATATGGTAGCTTCCAGGTAAGAGCATAGGTTCAGGAGAATCCAGCTCACTAAGAAATAAAGGTAAGTGCTTTGTGTCATAATTACTCCTGATTTCTTCCACCTTAGTGAAACCATTTGCCACAATTTACTTTCTGTACAATTCAAGCTACAGGTAGATCACATGCCAACTGAACTGGAAAATACTGATAGAGCCAATGATATTAGGAAGAGTTTTATCCACAAGAACATTATACGGAGTCATCAAGTCCCTAAGATACTTTTAAAATCCTCTGTTAGTAGTTTAGCCAAATCTACGAAAATCACACAGCAATGAGCCCTTTACTTTTTCCTAACAGTATGATCACAAAGCACTGAAGAAAAAATTACTGTGGTCGAAACAAAGCAATGCACAATGAAGACAAATGTGTTCAGTTACTCTTTTAAAAATCTAACAGTTGTTAATATTGTTTTAAAAACATCTTCAGGTTTTAGATTGAAATCTCTTAC